ATAGTAGCTTGTTTTACCACTCCCAGCTGTATTCCTCGATTAATCCTCTCTATGGTTGTATATGTTGACGTTTATTTGTGAACTGATAAACTCAGTAGAACGTTGTTAAGTCAGCCATCTACTTTATCAAGATTTGTATTGACGCATGATTTTTCTTTTTCAACGACAGAAGTTCCCCGGATAATAGAATTAGGTATTAGAAATTATTCTATTCAGTTCCTTGTGGAGATTTAATGATTTTTCAAGTTGGTATTCATCATAGATTGACATCAGTTGGAGAAACATTGGAAACCCTAAGAGCACTGGATAGCTGTTTCGTTCTAGCATGAGACCCCCCAGCAGTCCGCATTCACGACCCCACCCAACCAGGGTTCGAACCCAGGACATTCAGGTTCCGTGCCTCGCGCGTTACCACTAAGCCACTGAGTTGAAATCCACTGGTCTACTTATCAAACTTCTGTTAGCTTACGACATAGTGCGAACATCACCCAATGTCATCATTGAGTATTTGTCCTCACGTCCACTAGGTTTGCCCCACCGGTCACGACTTCTCATTCCCAGGGCTACCAGGTTCCCAATGTTCCTCCAACTGATATCAGTTCATGATAAAAATACCAACTCAAAAAATCACTAAAACCCCATATACCCTCAAATTAAATTGATCTAGTGCTCATTGGTGACTGACTAGCTTCGAGAGGTGATTCCTGAAGTTCCCATGACAAGCCGTGACAGGTAGGGCAAACCTGTTCGCCATGAGGATAAATATTCGACGATGACATTGAGTGATGGTTGCACTATGTCGTGCGCTGACAGAAGTAGGAAATATGGATCGTTGGATTCCGACCGAGTGACTCAATAATAACGTGGTGGTCACGGAACCTGAATATCCTGGGTTCGATGGCTGGCAGAGTGGGTTCATGTGTGCTTACTGGTGATGAGTCCTATAGTGGGACGAAACAGCTATCCAGTGCTCCCAGGTTCCCAATGTCCCTCCAACTGGTATCAGTCCGTGGTGAATGCCAACTCGAGATAGAATAGATTTCAAGGTTAACTGATGTTTTCACCGAAGTATGAAGTTGAAGGGGAATTCATTTTTGACAAGTAGCTTAGTCAAAAGATGTTTAACCGTTCCGTATATCTGTCATGCATACAAACTGAATCCACTTAAACAAATGATTTATGAATCCGCCTTCGTATTATGCAGGGTGGAAGCTGTAGAAATGTGGATTCTTCCCTATCTAATCATGCTTGCTGCAGTTTAGTCGTTTTTAATCGAATTATATTTTGCTCGGCCTCACAGTATGTTCGACAATGGTGAATAGTGTCAGTGCAGTGCAGTACAGTGCAGTGCAGTAGATCTCCACACTGATTTGAGGTTAATGAAGGTCTGTCTTTCCGTGTTGTGTTTCCGATCCTGGCTGTCTTTGACATCCTCGTCTGTGCCACCACCGCCTGTAGTTGAAACGATGCTGCCTAGGCAGGTGGGTAGGTGAGAAAGAGACTACTTCCTTCACTTTCTCCCGTTTATGGTGATTGCAGCTTGTTGTTGTTGGTGGTGTTCGTTGGGTATCTTCATCTCTGTTTTCTCTACGTTTACTTGAAGTCCCGTTTTCGCTGCCCTGCCTCTTCTGTCAACTTGTTAATTTTCACTTGTAGATCTTCGAGTTTGTGCAACATTAGATATAAATCATTATGGGCGAAATCCAAATCTTCTAGGGTCTTTTCATCAGTCGAGAAGCGTATGCCCATCTTTTCACAGCTCCTCACGGTTTGCTGCATGATCGAGTCGACTACAATCAGGAAGATGATTGGTGATAGTAGGTGGCAGCCTTGTCTTACTCCTGTCTTCACTTGAAAGGCGTCACTGAGTTGAGCTTTCCATTGTGAATCACTTGGTATATAGCATCATCATAATGTGACACATAGCTGTTGAATGAGTTTGGTATGGATTTGTGGCACTCCGTAGTGTTGAAGTAGTTGCCAAATTACTTCTCGGTCGACTCTGTCTAAGGTCTTTTCAAAGTCGATGAAGTTGAGTTAGAGAGTTGACTGCCATTCTGTGCTCTGTTGAATGGTGATGCGTAGTGTTGTGTTACAATTTGATCCGCATATGATTTGTTCTTCCTGAAGCCAGCCAACCCTTTCCGATCATAATTTTGAATCCAACGCATCCTTTATTCTGTCTAGGATGATGCAGCATAATATTTTGCTTGGGGTGGACAGGAGTGGAACATGATTCCTCACCAGTTGTTGGAGAGACTTAGGTCTCCCTTGTTTGGGAGTTTGACCAGACAACCCTTCTTCCAATCTGTTGCTACCTTTCCTTCCTTCCAAAGCTTCTACAGTAGCTGTGTGAACATGTGCGCTGTTGTCTGTGGGTCAGTTTTCAGTGGTTGTGATGGGATTCCATATGGTTGTGGTGCTTTCTCGGATTTCAGCAGTTTTATGGCATTCAGGACTTCTGGTTTTGTCGGAGGGCCTGTGTTCACTTGTAGTTCTGCCATTGCTGGTGGTATTTCTGGACGAGTTGCAGGTGGTGGTCGATTCAAGAGTTTCCTTTGTTCCACCTGTTTGGTGGTGACTAGCTTTCCTTCACTATCTTTCATTTGTTTTGTCTGCGTTGATCTCTTCCCAGATAGTAACCTGGTTATTTGATATAATGTTGTCAGGTTTCTGTCTCTCCTACCTGCAGCCTGTTCTGCTTCACTTGGCAATGTGTCGTAGAAGTGTCTTTTGTCTTCACCAATTTGTCCATTATTTTATAGGTTGTACTCAGTTCTTATTTTCGTTGTTCATCTATGCACTAGTTCATCTTCTGCTTCACCATCTTCCTCTCCTTTATCAGCTTCCATGTGTCCGTCCAGATCCTTTCCTTGTCCTGTTCCTTTTTCCTTCCTAACACGGTTATGCAGGTTTCTTTTCACATAGCTTTGAAAGGGTTTCAGTGTTATGCCACGCAGGTTTGTCGCGGGATGTTGCTTAATGTCTCCCAAACACAGTCGTGTAATGTGTAGTCAATCTGTCTTAGCCAAAGTGTTTGATTTACACGCTTCCCTAGGTAAACTGTTCTATATTTGAGCATCTTTTATCGTGAAGAAGTTCTGCTTAGTAACTGCTTTTGAATTACTCAGTAGTTACTGTTGCGGTTGTGTTTCTTAACCTATGGGCATTTTTGTTTATAAACCAAATGTCTGTGCATGTACTATATGTTAGTCTGTTAAGAAGCTTATAAAAGAGTGTCAAGTTCTGTTTGAACCTTCGTTTCCACAGTGGTTCAAGTTCTAGGATTTTGCATCTGGCGGTGTGTTTTACCTCGTTATCCTTGTTGAGTATTCTCGTCGTAAAATATCATACGATAAGTTGAACTCAGTTTGTGTAATGGTCATCGAAATTTTGTACAAACAACTAAGGTTCATTTTAAAAATGTCATCAAACAGGAGGAAGAGTAAAAAGTCAACAAATTCCCACAAACTTCACAACTAAATTAATCCAGTGTTTTTTGGTGATTAGCTTCGAGAGGTAATTCTCGAAGTTCCAATGAAAAGTCGTAACCAGTGAGGCCAACCAAGTCGAACATGAGGACAGCTACTCGACGATGGCATTCCATGGAGGTCGCGCTATATCATGAGCTTACAGAAGTAGGAAATATGAGGTATTGGATTCCGATCCAGTGACCCAATGGTAACGTGCTTGCTTCAGAACCCTGGGTTCGATCCCTGGCAAAACGGATTCATGGGCGCGCACTACTGAAGAGTCCCATACTAAGACGAAACGACTGTCCAGTGCTCCCAGGTTTGCTATATTTCTCCGACTGATGTCAATCTATAGTGAATACCAACCTGAACCAAAGAAAAACTGATCACCGGTTCTTTCTGAACACATAATTCCGGTTTCAGTTGTTTGATTGCTACAGTCTCAGAGAAATTCAGAAGACTTGAAGTATGCTTCTTTTTGATTACCTTAAAGGATCGCAATAGATCTAATGAAAGCGGTGGTTCCCTTCAAACGTAGGCTTTTCAGTATGTGTTCAAAAAATTTAAGTTATGCCCTTCGCTCTGTTCTTCCAATATAGCTACTATCATAAATACACGTAAACGTGTGCGCACAGAGGTAAAATGGGGAAGACAACTTTCTGACTTTTGATTGAGTCAGGTAGCCTGTTGCTCTATGGAGTAGAATCAACTTGGCTGAAGGATATGCTCTGTTCAGTATGGTTTTTCTGCTACTCATCATCAATCAACCTACTTGTGTAATCTTTTGTCCTAAGTGTACCAAAACACTGTGTTACTATTCATATTATTCTCTTTGAATTGTCTATTGAATCAGATATGAAACTAGGACATCTCAACATATCTTGTTACCTCTATCCGGATGTTTGTATTTCTTACTAAACCGTATCGATTCATGTCAACTATGTTTGTTTTATTGTAAAATGTATGCTGCAATTCTTCACAGTTATATAATATTTGAACGTCTTAGGTTGTAAACAGTTGACGAGCAACTGGCTAAATAAAGTGGTACCATGTTGTTTTATTCCATTCGCTGCTCTTTTCCCTTATTTAAGTCCATAATGGGGGAATGTATGTATGAAATTTTCTTCAATATATAAATTTAATTCTATCAGTTACTACTCTGTTTTCATTGTCGTAAACTCGAGAAAACTCAATTATCATTTGATTAATGGTGGACAGCATTAAAATCTAGGAGATATTTCTTATTCTGTCCAGTGGCTCATCAGTTGAATGTATTTGCACTGCAGTAAGTCATTGTGTTCCCACTGAAACTCCAATACCCATGATCTCCCATATAGAATCTTATCCACTAGGCTTTTGAGTTACACCAACCACCTCTTCTACTATGGGTCTCCGCCGTCATTCGAGTTATTATAATGTTTATTTTCATACTGTCTTGTTTTTCATATTTAATGCTATTTCATAATGAAAATGATAATGCCTGTTTGTTAAAGTAACTAATCATTCATATTTTTTTTGTTGTCATAGATATGGTTTTACATTAGTATGAAAAAATTCAGCGTTTGTTATTGGACGACGGAACAGTGTTGTATGGCTATCCTACTACCCTTATTAATACTTTACAATAGTGAGTAAATCCTTTTCAGTATTCCAACTCAATATTACATGTTAAGGATTTTGTGACACTTTTTTACATTATTATTATTATTATTAGTCCCTTGGGTTCCTAATGGAAAATAGGGCTTCAGTAGCACGTCTCCAGTGAACTCTGCTCTCTGAAATTTTTTGAACCTGACTTCACGACAGCCCAGAAGCTCTCATTTCCTCCTCGCACGATCTCCGCCATGTCACCTCCACCTCGGACGTCCAACTCGTCACTTCCCATTGGGGTTCCACTCGAGCATCTGGCCTGACGCGTGATGTCCCCAGTCGGCCTTCTCAGTGTATGCCCAATCCATATCCACTTCCTTCTGCATATTTGTTGAGCGATAGGTTTTTGGTTGGTTCGTTCCCAGAGCTCCTTGTTGCTGATTCTTTCTGGCCATCTGATCTTCAGTAACGAGCCAGAGTAGGCAGTTGCTGATGAATGTCTGTAGTTTGTTGGAAATGCCTTTCGTGACGCGCCAAGTCTCTGAACCATACAGAAGCAGTAACTTGACTGGGTTGGTGTTGAAAATCCGGATGTTGTTCACGCTTTATGCTGAGTGCAGTAAAGCAGATCTCCACACTGGTTTCAGGTTAATGAACGCCTGTCTTGCTTTTCCGATTCTGACTGGCTTTGACATCCTCGTCTGTGCCTGTGCTGCCTGTAGTTGAAACGCTGCTGCCTAGATAGGTGAAGGAGGCTAGTTCCTTTAGGTTTCTCCCGTTGATGGTGATTGGAGTTTGTTGTTGTTGTTGGTGGTGGTGGTGCGGTATCTTCATCACCTCTGTCTTCTCTATATTCACTTGAAGTCCCGTCTTTGCTGCCTCTTCTGTTAACTTGTTAGTTTTGGCCTGTAGATCTTGAAGTGACATCAGACACAAGTCATCGTTGGGAAATCCAAATCTCTAGGTTGTTTTCCGCAGTCCAGCCAGCGTATCCCCCTCTTCTCGCTTCCCACGGTTTGTTGCATGATCCAGTGGACTACTATCAGGAATATCATGGGTGATAGTAGGCAACCTTGTTTCACTCCTGTCTTCACTTCAAAAGCATCACTGAGCTTCCCATTGTGAATTACTTTTTTACATTATAAGTTGATTATTTAAATGTTGTTGATTAGTGGACTTTCACTGTCTACCGTGACGTACAGTGTTAAGTCAAAATAGGATTGGATTGTGAAATGGCTGAAAGCAATCAAATCAGGATGTGACAGTATTTCATGAAGTCTTCGACTATTGATCTGAGTCGTTTAAAGGGATGTAGACCATTTGGATGGTGTTTTCGAGATGATAAGAATCATTAGCTGGCGATTCTTAGTGGCGGGGCTCAAAATCAGTCACATTGGTAAAAATATGTACACCCGTTGTCGGCCGACCGATAGCTGCTACCTTGACGTGGTGGTCGGGCTTGCATATCACAATGACCCAAAGCGCTATGCTGGTGGAACGCTTGTTCCCTCGAGGTCCTATCATACCAGAAAGGTCTGTTGGATAGTAGTGAGACGAAAAGCAGTTACCGTTTAGTGTAAATTACTACACTATGATGGGGATCTGAGGGCGAAGTCGTATTTCTGCTAGCTGGATGGGGTGTGACAGCAGTAAGGTGTTTCCTTTGGATGACCAGCAGTGCCATGCTGATGCTGCCTTCTCAGTGAAAAAGGTGGGGGAGGGGTTAGAAAAGGTCGGTCCCAAAAATAACACACTCCACCATGCTCCACGGTCTGCCGGGCAGGCGGTATTGGTTCGTTTGTCGTTTCCTTTCGACCATCCGGCCCCCAAAATACAAAAGTTCGAAATAGTCATACTCGAAAGGCTTCATGTGACAAGCCTCAAGCAGATGTCCGATGTGCTCTGCGGTCACACAAATCTCCTTCAGGTACTTTAAGAAGAAATAGCTTTCCACGGTGTGGGCAGCCGGGAAGTGTCAACCACCCTCACAACTCTATCGGGACTCAAGTTTCCTCAAACTGCTATCCACCTCCTCCATCATTACCTCCTAATCTTTCTTCACATATCTCAATTAACGATACTACATCATCTTCAATTTATCCTACCTCTGCAACCTTCGAAAACGATCTGAATCCACAAAACAGTATTCCTGGTCACCTTAAACCACGCTCCAAATTACATATTGGAGCCTTCAATGTCCGCACCCTCCGTCAAATTGGCCAACAGGCTTCGTTGGCAAAGACTCTAGCAACTCGGGCATGGATGTTTGCTGTGTTTGTGAGACACGCATACAGGACCCAAGTGTGGTTATTCACCTGACCTCTCCTGACCAATCTGGTGAATCTGCAAAATTCACCCTTCGAGTTTCTGGAGATTCGATAGCTAGCTCTCGTGGTCTTGCAGGTGTAGGTATAGCATTAAGCACCAGGGCAGAAAACTCACTACTAGACTGGATCCCAGTTGATAGTCGCCTCTGCGCTATGAGGCTGAACGGCACAGTGAGAACTAAAAGGAATAGTGAGACTCGCCGTTGTCTCTTTGTAATCTCTGCTTACGCACCCACTGACTGCAGTTCGGATGAAGTGAAGGACGAGTTCTACCATAAACTGTCTAACCTCCTCTCGAAAGCCAAACGTTCGGACGTAGTGGTTGTTGCAGGTGACCTCAACGCACAGGTGGGTAGACTGAGTGAGGCAGAAAGGCACTTAGGTGGCACTTTCGGAATCCCAGCTGAACGTACAGATAACGGTGATCGCCTATTACAACTATGCTCAGATAACCGCCTATTTTTAGCCAGCACAAATTTCAGACATAAAGAAAGGCACTGTCTGACCTGGCGTCCACCGAGCTCGACTCAGCGATGGACACAGATAGACCACATTGCTATTAGTCATCGCTGGAGAGGATCGGTGGAAGACTGCCGCTCCTTCTGGAGTACGTGTTTGGACAGCGATCATGCGTTGGTCCGAGCACGTATATGCCTGCGTCTCAATGGACGTAGAAAAAATTTGGCAACAAAACCACTACGAGTTCTGCTGGACAACGAAAACACCAAAGCCGTGTTCAGTGAGAAGTTGGCTAGGCAGTTATCGGAACAGAAGACTATCGCTCATCCAGAAGAAGCTTGGTACCATCTCCAGTCTGTCGTAAAAGCAGTGCTGAAGACCGTAGCCGACTCCGAAAGGGTGGCTAGAAAGAGCCAGTGGATATCTTCCGAACTAATGGATGCACGTGAACGCATCCCTGGCTGAAGACTCTGAGTACAATGAAGAGCGAGCGCAACCTAAAAGTAGATTGAGAAAACGTCTACATAACGACTGCGAATAGTGGTGGGTAGCGAAGGCTAAAGAGATGGAAAATGCAGTGGTGATTGGTAACAGTAGAGTTATTTAGACCTATTAAGAAGACTGGGGGGGGGGGAATAAGGTCAGCTGCGGCTAGTGAAGCTATAGCGGAAAAGGATGGATCTGCGATTCACTCTCAGTGGAGACGACTGGAACGATGGACAGAAAACTTCGAGGAACAGTTTAACTGGCCTCCAGCCACCATTGCGTTGCCCGCTATCCAGTCGAATCCTGAATTAAACATTGAGATAGGCCGCCCAACACTAGGAGAAGTCGAGAGAGTGGTAGGTAACCTGAAAGGAGGAAAAGCAGCAGGGCCAGACGGACTACCTGTTGAGGTATACAAGGATGGTGGTAAGGTGCTCTTATTCAGGTTAATGGAAGTGTTAACCAGTAAATGGGAATCAATGTGATCCCTTCTGACTGGTCCAAGTCACTGATTATCCCAGTCTTCAAGAAAGACGAGAAGTCCTCTTGTGATAACCACAGAGGAATCAGCCTGACGAACATAGTGTCTAAGATTCTAGGTTCTATAATTCTCCGACGCCTGAGTGGAGCTCAGGAACAGCAAGCTTAAGAAAACCAGGCAGGCAGGCAGGCAGACTTTAGACCGAGTCGCAGGTGTATCGACTAAGTATTTACACTGCGCTAGGTCCTGGGATATAGGTGCGCTTACCGACGCCCGACACTAGTTGTATTTCCCGACGTGAAGGCGGCATTCGACTCCGTTGATCGAGGAGTCTTATGGTACTGTCTCTCACTGAAAGGGGGACCGAGTAAGTACATCATCTTATTGAAAGCCCTCAACTCGAAAACTTGTGGGCATGTTAGAGCCTATGGTGAGATTTTCGGGGAGCTATGCTCGTCGAGTGGTGTGCATCAATGGTGCCCATTGTCTCCATTCTTATACAATTTTATTATCGATATTCTTATGGAGGTCTCTTTTCGTCACCAGGTTACACAAAGGTTGACCTAATCGCAGGAGAATTTTTGTTAGACCTATAATATGCAGATGACATAGTCAGTCATGTTGGGTGAAGACGCTGACTGATGAGATGCAGAGTCTGCTGAACACTTTGAATGGGAATTTTAGAATGTTTCGGATGCGGTTCTCACCACCCAAATGCAAATTGTTGCTCCTGAATTGGTCTTCAGCGGTGCCACAGCTAACAATAGAGAGTGAAATGGTTGAGTGTGTGGCCGGCGAAATCTCTGCATAGACAGAAAAGGCTCGTTTGGCTTTAGCCAACTTACGCCACCTATGGCGCCGCCGTGATATCCAGTTATCTATTAAGGGTCGCGTGTACTGCACAGCAGTCCGGTCTGTTCTACTCTATGGCTGTGAAACATGGCCATTCAAGGTGGAAGACATGAGAAGTCTGGCTTCAGGTGTTTGGTCGCCGTTACCTTCGTAGTATAGACCGTATTCCGTAGTGCCACAACGTAAGTAGCGCTGAAGTCAGGTGTAGAGTTTTAGGGAGAAGAGGTAGGTCAGTTGACGAGGTTATGAACCTTCATTGATTGAGATAGTTGGGACACGTACTACGTATGCCTTAGTCACCGATTGCCTCTTCACACAATATTGGTGGAAGTAGGTCCAGAGTGGAAAAAGGTCCGATGTGGCCAGACTAAAACATCACACCAATGTATGAAGTCTCTGACTATTGGTTTGAGCTCTGTGGGGCGATGTAGA